ACAACGGACCCGGATGACTTCGAACCCGAAGAACCCACCCGGGTTCAGGCTGGCCCATGGGCGTCGAGGTCAAGCAACCCGTTTGATGAAGACTGGGTGCCCCTGTACGAGCCGTTGCTCCCACAGGAGAAGTTTATTCCCAAGTTGATAGACATTTCCATTCCGATCCTTCAGTCATTCGTGACACATGGGACTAACCTTTACTATACTGGATTACCTATGGACTTATGGGATTTTTCCCTAAGGACTATGCATGGACTATTTTCTATGGACTGTTCTATGGAATATTCTTTATGGACTTCTTTTCTTGGAATACTCCATATGGACTATGCTCTTGTAATTTTGTAAGGACTATGGTACATTTACTGGATTTGACTTTTCTAAGGATAATGGGACTTTTACTGAATCTTTCTTTTTAGTACAGGATTCTTGTTCTACAGGATCACTGAGGACTATAGCCTTTTTATAACCTAATTGGATTATTTTGTTTTTACTAATGAATTACTGGACTGGAACTGTTTTTATTCTTTTTAATGGCTTTTTGTGTTTTTGTAAGGTTTTTGAACACTTTTCTATTTTTCATGTTTTCTTTGCCTCACTACATCTTTGTAACTAAGCAGCACAATGCTAGTTTATTTGTTTTGGTTTAATTTGGCTTTGATACTTAGTAACATGCTTATTCTTTAATAAAATAAAGATTATAAAACTCAATTGGTTTTCTGAACAGTACACTTGTCATAGGGTCATCTGAGAGTGCTGCCTCAGCCTAGCTTACTTAGAGTCCTGTCAGTGGTGCAAGTTAAGTCTAAGGACTACAAAGCCCACTTGACCTTTTCCTAATAATATCTGAGAGTACCAGGGTGTTCTTATGTGGGCAGACCTGTGAGAAGGAGTGTTGTATCTTGGCTAGCTGAGTTTGGACTCACTCAGCCCATTTTAGCATGTGCAAACTCCTGATTGCTCTCTGTCCAGGCTTACACGTGTTTTTGGACCCGTGTTTGCTGACAAACTCGACTTTCCGCTTTTCTCCTATTTGATTGCCCTTCAGGTTTTAAGTTACATTTACATCCTAGTTTTAATCTATGTTATTCAAGTGCTATCTGGTGACTCAAGCCATTTATATAATATATCCCATCGCTTTTTGTATTGGACAGTCTTTCAACACTTCTGATAAGATATCTAATTTCTGCCACTTCCCATATATTCTCAATGAGTTCCTTTTGTTTCGGTTTCACCGATTTCTTCCAATTCTTGGCATAAAGAATTCTGGCTGCAGTGACGATATATATAACTAAGTAATTCTTTGTCTTACCTATATTGCCTGGTATAATACTCAGTAGAAATAGTTTTGGGGTTAGTGGAACCTTACAGAGCAATATTTTTTGTAACAGAGTATGCACTGATATCCAGTATTGTTTCGCTACTCTGCAAGTCCACCACATATGGTAAAAACTTCCCCCATGTGCTTCACACCCCCAACAAACATTTGACACATCTGTATAAATCTTTGATATTTTTTCCGGAGTCATATGCCACCTGTAAAACATCTTTTATATATTCTCCTTGAAATTAACCAATTTTGTGAGCTTTATAGTATTTTGCCATATCTGCAACCATTGATCAATATCAATATATGTCCTATATTTTGTGCCCACCTAATCATACATTCTTCAACTATCTCATCTTGTATTTTAAATTCTAACAAATAATCATACATTTTCTTAATTACTTTATCTTTTGAACCCAGCAGAAGTTTATCAAATATCATTTGTTCTGGGTAAAAACCCTCTATTTTATCTTTTCTATACCTAGATTCCACTTGTGCTCTGGACCATCAGTCTGTATATATATATATATATTGTGTCTCTAGCTCTTCTTTAGACCTTAGGCGCTTTCTTCTAGTTGTCATCCCCTGTTGGCTTTCCCATAATTACAAGCCAAAGGCACCTCTTCTTTGCTAATAGTTCAAGGTACTATGTGGCTTTAAAACGTCTTTCTATTGAAGAAGAGAAAATAGAAAAATAGGAGAAGGATGAAGTAGAGGAAGAGGAGGAGGACAGACACTAGTGGGATGGATATAAGCAATTATATATTTCAGCTTTTGGACATAATATCAATTTATCATCATCCACAACAACAACAACAACAACAACAACATCATCATCTTTGAATCAAAATTAAATGGGGGAAATACAATCAAAGCCATAAACATATGTGCCATTCCAGTAATTAGATACCCAGTGGAATAATAGATTGGACTCAAAACAAATTAGAAGAATTGGATTAAAAACCATGGAAACTAACACATCATACATTACATCCAAAAAGTGATGTGGACAGATTATATTTACCATGACAAATTGGAGGCTATGGATTACTGCAAATACAGGAGGTAGTAGAGGAAGAAAAAAGAAGCCTAAATGATTATATCACTACAAACAGAGAAAAATTACTGAAACCAGTGAAAATGGAGAATATTTTGAAAACAACAGAAACCAAGGCTCAGTGTAAGAAACAACAATTTGGAAAGAAATTAAAGAGCTGGAAAAAGAAACCACTGCATGGGCAGCACCTGAGAAATATTGATGGAAAGCATTATCATCATTCAGCATGGGAATGGCTAAAACTTAAGAAAGAAACTGAAGGCTTGATTTTTGCTGCACAAGAACAAGCACTCCAAACCAACGTGATGAAAGCTAAGAACTTTCTTAGTGTAGACTCTACCAAGATGAAACTATGTCACACCTTGTCATGATCATGAGTATGTGGTTTAAAGCATGTAATTTGAATGGTTTATGTAGTCATGAGAAATGTAATACGGATTCAAAATGGTTCTATGTAAGGTTAATTTTAAGCGCTGAAGAGGCTGTAAGAATGTTTTTCTGAGCCTGGGATGGCAAGGACAAGATAAGGAGTGAAGTCACAACATTCCAGCTTAATTGGGAAGAAGATTAGAAGAGGAAAACAACAGCTGCATTCCCATGAGAAAGAGAGGTGGAGAGAGACTTTACAGCCCCTAAATTATAATTGGTCAACACCTCGGAGGATGAAGAAGAAGGGTGGAGTTTAGCAAGTAGAAAATGGAGATTTTGCCATGTGGAGAGTTCCTTAGTTTAGAGAGGCTTTGGATGAAGGAGGTGAGAATGTAGGAACAACAGAAAGAAGAAAGGGGGCTTATACCCTTTGCCTACCCTGAATAAAGCTTTTTAAGAGATTTTAGTTAATTTTTACTTAGCTGGAACTTGTTATTCATTTTAACTGCAATATTCTTAGAAAATGTAATCTATGCTGTGCTTATGAAACAAACTGAATTTTCTATGAAACTTTATTTTTCCAATTAAAAAATTAATCTTAAAAATCTACAGGATTGGTCTCTTGAACAGCAAGTCTGCTGAGCTTGCTTCCAGGGAGTAGCAAGGCCACAATATTGCTATCAGAGTCTTAATTTTCTGAGCTTTAGTGAGTCTTAAAGGACTACAAAGCCCAGGTATCTGTACTTGCTAAATACAAGTAAGAGCAGGAGTGAACCTTTTAGGCCAGACTTGTCGGAAAGGATCTATGCTACATCCTAGCTGAAGGTTAATAGGACTCCACCCAGCTGAAAGGGGTACATAGATACCTGGAGGCTCTCTGGCCAAAGGAGCAGTGCTCCCTGGAGGGAGGCTGGTTGTAGCGTTCAGCCCTGCCCTCACCTGTCCGTCACAGCTGGGCAGTGGAACAGCAGCCAATGAGGGGACGGAAGGTGGTGCTAAAGGGGGAGGAGCTGGGATATAAAGGGGTGTGTGTGGTGTTTGAGAAGGGATTTGGAGTGGAATTTGAGAAAGTTAGAGATTAGTGTGTCTGTGGGCCTGTGAGCCAAAGAGTCAGTGAGAGAAGAGTCTGTGTGTGTCATTGAGTGAGAGACCTTGATTAACCACTTGTGATTTAACTATTTTATTTTATTAATCAAATAAACAAGTTTAAGTTTTAAAGAAACACATTCAGTGATTTATTCGTATTGAAACAGCAATACCTGGTGGCAGCAATTTGAGAAGAAGAGTGAGCATCCCCTGGAGGCCTGAGATAATAGAGGCTCCAGCGTGCTCGCTACACTGGTCATGACACACCTCATCTTTGAATGTCCAAAGATTGCACAGATTACAAAGTTAGACATGATAGAGTGGCAAAGTTAGTGCACTGGTGTCACGTTCCCAGGGGTTACAACAGCAGAGTCCGATAAGCCAGTCATCAGATGCTATAGCTCTTGGACATCTAGTAACAAAAGGGGTACAGGGCTCAGCAGACCCTGATGAGGGACCACGACAGGCTGCTGCAAAGGTACTGGAACAATGTAAGCATTTAGCAGATACAGTACTTGGGTTTTTGGTTAAAACTTGTATCTGTTCTTAATACCACTCAATGTTTTTATAATTTTGATTGACTGGGCCTGATGTCTTTGAATAATAGTCTTTAATTCTTGCCGGAGAAACTGAAATTACTGTAGAAGCACATATACAAAAAACATCACATGAAAATGAAAGCTAGAAAATGATATGAATATAATTTGTACAAAATTGTACCTCATTTAAGACAAGTTGGGTGGGGAAAAAAGGGAGCATATATTCATATAATTATAATTAATGATAAAGCTGGTACTGAATTTCACTTACAAGCCTTGTTATATCGGGCTTCATAGCTGAAACTTGTATTCTGAGTTCTGACTCCACATTTTTCAAATGGTTTCTACACTTATTTTTAAGACAAACAAGAGCAGAGATTGATTTTTCACAAAAGCATGTTGTTACGAAAGGCATCAATACTTTCATAGCCCTCTTTGACATCTTTGAAAAATCTGCTTGTAGGTGAGCCCAGAAATTTAGAAGGGACTATTTCCTGAATAGCAATTTCAGAGCACCATCAGTGGATATTTCTATGAGTTTGTTTTCCTCTGCTACTGTGACCCCTCTAGTTCATAGACATAACTGAAAAGGGATCTATAACCCAGTTTTTGTTTGCTTCAGGAACAGGAAAATATTCACAGAAAGTATGCTGCAAATCTTCCAAATGTCGTGAGATGTGATGTGTTCTCCTCAGACAATTCTTTACCAATGGAACCAGGGAAAGTTGTGTGGTTTGGAAATGTCTCATAGTTTCAGTGTGATAGGTGATGGTGCCACAATTCCAACTTTTTGATCATTTCTTCAATCTTGTCTTCAACTTGAAAAACTGTGACCTTTTCTGCTTGAAAATTTAAGTTAAGCATATTTAAATGGATGAGGATATTTGACAGATATGAACATTCAACTAATCAGGAAAAAAATCTGTCAAATGATTGCTGAGGTGAAATTGCTTCTCCATGTGGAATAATCTTATCTCTCAGTTCCCAAAAATGAGACAAAGCTACCTTGTGATAGACAGCACAGCAAAAGTTGGTGGTGTTCACTGTCTATATCTTTGCAAAGCTGCTCGAAGTCTTTAATTCAGTGATTTGCTTTTTATAAAATAGACAATTTTAACTGATACATTTAAAGTCTGTTTTAGTTTTTATATCTCCTTAGTAACTAGAACTTCCCTATGTATGTGCAACAGTGCCAAGTCATCAATGGTATGATTTCTTTAATCCATGCTACAAATCCAGTAAGTTTTCCAGACAATGCTTGTGCCCCATCTATGCTATCTATCTATCTATCTATCTATTTATTTATTTATTTAGTTAGTTAGTTAGTCAGTCAGTTTGTTTTTGTTTGTTTTTGTTTATTTATTTGTTTTGTTTGATTGTTTTGTTTGTTTACTTACCATTCATCTGGCTATCAAGGCTACTTTGAGCAGTTTACAATATTCCAACGCATTTCAACCAATCCATATCATGAGATGTTATAAACTGTTAAGCTGATTATAAGCTGTTAAATACTTCTTCAGCTGTAGTGTGTATTAATGAGGAGATGAACAGTATGACTTTGAAAATATTTACCTGATGCTTATATCTAATGCAGCACAGTAAGTTTGCTTTGTTATGTCTGTGCTTTCATCCAATTGCAGTGCAAAGTACAGGGACATGTGAAGTCTTTCTAATAAATGTTCTTTGACATTGGCTGAGAAACCATTTATTTGCTTCTGGTGTCATTCAACAAAGATATTAAGGAAAGGTCCTTGGCAGGTTTCTTGTTGATCAATGCGGAAACCATGATTGATTGACTGACTGATTGATTGATTGATTTAAATTATATGCCGCCCACTCTACCCAAAGGTCTCTGGGTGGCTTACAACAATTAAAATACAATTAAAGTAGAATAAAAAGATAAAACAATTAAAATACAATTAAATAGATACTCTAAAAATTGCAGTCAGGACCCACAGTTGATATTATTTCAATTAAAATCCTTCTGGAACAGGAAGGTTTCGACTTGATGCCGAAATGTCATCAGCGTCGGCGCCAGACAAATCTCAGTCGGGAGGGCATTCCATAGTCTGGGGGCAGCTGCCGAAAAGGCCCTTTGTCTACAAGCTGTGCGTGTCATTGAGGGACGGCTCTTTCAAAAGGGCCCCCTGGCTAGATTTTAACTGCCGGGTAGGTTCATATGGAAGGAGGCGGTCCTTCAGGTATCCAGGGCCCAAGCTGTTTAGGGCTTTATATGTCAAAACAAGCACTTTGAATTGGGCCCAGTTAGCAACTGGTATCCAATGTAACTTAAACAGAATCGGCTTGACATGTTCCCTAGCGGCCCCACCACTCACCAGCCACGCAGCTCAATTCTGGACCACCTGCAGTCGCCAGACCATCTTCAAAGGCAGCCCCACATAGAGCGTATTGCAGTAATCTATGCAAGATGTTACCAGTGCATGTGTAACTGTCATGAGACTCTGCTCATCCAGGTAGGGCCATAGCTGGTATAATTTCTGCAGCTGAAGGAAGGCGCCCCTGGCTACCGAGTCCACCTGGGCTTCCAGAGTTAGACTGGGGTCCAGGAGCACCCCCAGGCTGAGGACCCTGTCACTTAGGGGGAGTGTAACCCCATTCAGGGCAGAGAAATGGCCCTCCAGCCTGTCCGGCGAAGCACCCACTAACAGCCCTTCCGTCTTGTCTGGACTGAGTTTCAATTTATTAACCCTCATCCATGCCATTATCAGGTTTAGACACGAGTTCAGCACAGATAATATAAGTTCTTCAGCTGTTGTGTGTGTTTCTGGTTTTTGCTATTAGTTGTGAAACTTCAAATGAGACTGTCATTCCATTTTCATTGTTATAACCAGTTGCAGTCTTCTTCTTTTTACCATTTTCTTACTTTCCCAAAGCTCATGCTCCTTACTTTTGAACAACTTGATGCTCTTTGTGGCATGTTCTTTATGTTTAGCATCTAGATATCTTTGCAATTTTGATGGTTTCATGGCCTTGTTGGACAATATCTCACCACACAACACACACTGTGGCAGTTGCTTGTCTTCAGGAAGCCAATTGACAGATGTTCCTTGTTATAATGGCGACACTTTTTAATATTTATTTATTTATTTATTTACAATATTTTTTAGCCGCGCCATTGCCAGTGGCTTCTGGAAGGGGCTTCATTTTCCTTTCATCAACATCATCCATTCTTTTATGTTTCAAATTCAGCCAGTGATCTACTCTGAGGCTCAGCCAAAATGTATTGTTACAAAATTAACTATGATAATATTGAAAAATCATTTTGCCCATCAATGACCAAATGGTTATATCAGCAGAAATTGAAAAAGAAACACAATCACAAAGGCCATCTGAGCACTCATTCACACTGACACTGACTGACTCCGACTCTCTTCCCATGGCTTCTGTCTGTGCAGTAGCAAGAAATATCACACACTGTCTCTCAGCCACTCAGCAACATTTACTGGCATATTCTCACCATGGGCAGAAATATCAAACAGTTATTTGCTATCAGTTATTTTTAAAACTAATTTTTACTTTTGTTTGTTTTTAATGGAACCGGTAGGTTAGAAAAGCCATGTTTCACACAAAGAAACAAAATTAAAATTTTGTTCTATATTTCCTTCTCTTTCTTGCTTTCATTTATTCATTATTATTTTTCCATTTTAAATGCAAAAGAACATAACATTTCCTCTAGCCTTCACAGACTCTCTGTGGGGACATCGTGGTCCCCCAGGAGTCTACGTACCACAGGCAAAGAACCTATACTTTAGATGGAAGGCCTTCATTTATGTCCTCTCCTGCAATCTGAAACAGCACTAGCGGAAACATGATCTATGCACCTCAGTGAAAACTGGGTCTATATCTCATGATTATTGTGAAGATGACTCTAGCAAAAAACATTAATGCCACCTTGAGCTTCCTGGGATATAAATTTAATTACAGTGGTGCCTCGCTTAACGAGCACACCGTTTAATGACGAATCCGCATAGCGACGCGTTTTTTGCGATCGCTAATGTGATCGCATTGCGATGTTCTGAATAGGGTAAACATCGCATTGCGATGATCGGTAAGCATTTCGCTTACCGATCTTCGCATTGCGGTGTTTTGGAACAGCTGATTGGCGGTTCCAAAATGGCCACCGGATCAACAAAATGGCCACCCGCAGCGTTTTCGCGCCGATTCCTCGCTTACCGAGGTGGCAAAAATAGCGGCCGGATTGACGATTCCCGCTTAGCAGTGAGTTTTGTCCCCATAGGAACGCATTAAATGGAGTTTAATGTGTTCCTATGGGTTCCCCCCTGCATAGTGACGTTTCTAGATAGCGATGTTTTTCCTGGAACGGATTAACGTCGCTATGCGGGGCACCACTGTAATAATAAAACATATTCAAATGTCGAGGAATACAAGAGGAAGAGCAAACAATTTTTTCCTAAGCTGGATGTCAACCAGATTGGCTACCTCCAGCTGGCTACCTCTAGTATAGTTACCAATTCCAATGCTTTGGAATGGAGCAAGCTGCAAATCTAATCTAGTCATCTAATCAATAGCTATCCAATTAAAAGAACACTCTAGCCTCTAGCATATATCAAGAACTGTCAAGGGTTTGTAAATGTGTTCCCAGTGGTTTCCTCTCATCCTTCTCCAGAACAGAGCTTCCAGGTCACTCTGTATTCTGGCTATCTTGTGCCCATCCTTTGCACTAACTATTTTTGCCATCTGTTTTCCTCATAACAATACAAGAATCAACTGCCCTGGTAGACTGTATAATATATAGCCCACTGTACCACTTGTGAAGCTTTCCTTATTTCCTCCCCTTATTTGCACCCCACGTGTTGAATTTATAAATGCCTTACTTCCCACTACACTCAAGTCTTGGTGCAAAGAGGGGGAGAGCCATCTGGCACCAGGAACTGAAATAAAAAAAATATGAACCAATGTACCAGTCCAAAGAGTATCAGAAAGTAGCCTGCTTTTTGTTTCTGTGTGCATGTGTTTGCCTAAGCTGGTCTTTATAGGACCACAATACAAAGGGCACATTGACATTACAAACTGTAATGACTTTTATGTCAATTTAACTGCAATAGCAACTAATGAAGTATTCTCAAAATTGTGCTCTGGAGAGAATACTGAGAATTCTGCCACAGAAACTGTATTTCATTCTCTTATAAAATTACAACTTTCAAAGTCCTAAATGACTAGGAATGATATTAAAGAAGCTAAGTCTCTAAAATGGAGATAGCCTTATATTACATTGTCACTGGCCTCCCTAAGGTGGTATCACCTGCATCCCAACAAACTCACCTGCCCCAGGATATTGTGTGCATATTGAAAGAATGGAAAGAAATTGAACTGGGGGATTCTCCACCTCCACCTCCATGTAGCTGTTAAAAAATCAGACCTGGAATTGTACTCTGAGTTCAACTCAATCCTGATCCAAACTCTTTACCATACAAAATAATAGAGGACATGAGATGGTACATTGACAGTAGAGAAAAACCACATTTCTGAAAGTTCCCTGCAAAAAGAGAAGTAACAAGGCCAGGAATGGACTGCAACAGAACATTTCTTTCTGATTTGCTCAATTTCTTCTTCCAGATAGATTTTGGGGAGTATTAAAAGGATTGCTGCCTTGTCGTGGCGAAGGGGCTTGAGTAACTCAGAGAAGCTATGGGCTATGCCGTGTAGGGACACCCAAGACGGACAGGACATAGTGGAGAGTTCCGACTAAACGCAATCCACCTGGAGTAGGAAATGGCAAGCCACTCCAGTATCTTGGCCAAGAACGCCCCATGATCAGAAACAAAAGGCTAAAAGATATGACGCTGGAAGATGGGCCCCTCAGGTCGGAAGGCGTCCAACATGCTACTGAGGAAGAGTGGAGGACAAGTACAAGTAGCTCCAGAGCTAATGAAGTGGTTGGGCCAAAGCCGAAAGGACGCTCAGCTGTGGACGTGCCTGGAAGTGAAAGGAAAATCCAATGCTGCAAAGAAGAATACTGCATAGGAACCTGGAATGTAAGATCTATGAACGTTGGGAAGCTGGAGGTGGTCAAACAGGAGATGGCAAGAATAAACTTTGACATCCTGGGCATCAGTGAACTAAAATGGACAGGAATGGGCGAATTCAGCTCAGATGATTATCATATCTACTATTGTGGGCAAGAATCCCGTAGAAGGAATGGAGTAGCCCTCATAGTCAACAAAAGAGTGGGAAGAGCTGTAATGGGATACAATCTCAAAAATGATAGAATGATGTCAATACGAATCCAAGGCAGACCTTTCAACATCACAATAATCCAAGTTTATGCACCAACCAGCATTGCTGAGGAGACTGAAATTGAACAATTCTATGAAGATTTACAACACCTTCTAGAACTGACACCAAAGAAAGATGTTCTTCTCATTCTAGGGGACTGGAATGCTAAAGTAGGGAGCCAAGAGATAAAAGGAACAACAGGGAAGTTTGGCCTTGGAGTTCAGAACGAAGCAGGACAAAGGCTAATAGAGTTTTGTCAAGAGAATAAGCTGGTCATCACAAACACTCTTTTCCAACAACACAAGAGGCGACTCTATACATGGAAATCACCAGATGGGCAATATCGAAATCAGATTGATTATATTCTCTGCAGCCAAAGATGGAGAAGCTCTATACAGTCAGCAAAAACAAGACCTGGAGCTGACTGCGGTTCTGATCATCAGCTTCTCATAGCAAAATTCAAGCTTAGACTGAAGAGATTAGGAAAAACCACTGGGCCACTCAGGTATAATCTAAACCAAATCCCTTATGAATACACAGTGGAAGTAAAGAACAGATTTAAGGAACTAGATTTGGTGGACAGAGTGCCTGAAGAACTTTGGATAGAGGCTCGTAACATTGTCCAGGAGGCAGCAACGAAAACCATCCCAAAGAAAAGGAAATGCAAGAAAGTAAAGTGGCTGTCCAACGAGGCCTTAGAAATAGCAGAGAGGAGAAGGGAAGCAAAATGCAAGGGAGATAGGGAAAGTTACAGAAACTTGAATTCAGACTTCCAAAGAATAGCAAGGAGAGACAAGAGGGCCTTCTTAAATGAACAATGCAAAGAAATAGAGGAAGATAACAGAAAAGGAAAGACCAGAGATCTGTTCAGGAAAATTGGACATATTAGAGGAACATTTTGCGCAAAGATGAACATGATAAAAGACAAAAATGGGAGGGACCTAACAGAAGCAGAAGACGTCAAGACGAGGTGGCAAGAATACACAGAGGAATTATATCGGAAAGATTTGGATATCCCGGACAATGCAGACAATGTAGTTGCTGACCTTGAGCCAGACATCCTGGAGAGTGAAGTCAAGTGGGCCTTAGAAAGCCTGGCTAACAACAAGGCCAGTGGAGGTGATGGCATTCCAGTTGAACTATTTAAAATCTTGAAAGATGATGCTGTTAAGGTGCTACATTCAATATGCCAGCAAGTTTGGAAAACTCAACAGTGGCCAGAGGATTGGAAAAGATCAGTCTACATCCCAATCCCAAAGAAAGGCAGTGCCAAAGAATGCTCCAACTACCGTACAATTGCACTCATTTCGCACGCTAGCAAGGTTATGCTCAAAATCCTGCAAGGTAGGCTTCAGCAGTATGTGGACCGAGAACTCCCAGAAGTACAAGCTGGATTCCGAAGAGGCAGAGGAACTCGAGACCAAATTGCTAACTTGCGCTGGATTATGGAGAAAGCCAGAGAGTTCCAGAAAAATATCTACTTCTGCTTCATTGACTATGCGAAAGCCTTTGACTGTGTGGACCACAACAGACTATGGCAAGTTCTTAAAGAAATGGGAGTGCCTGACCACTTTATCTGTCTCCTGAGAAACCTATATGTGGGACAGGAAGCAACAGTTAGAACTGGTCATGGAACAACTGAGTGGTTCAAAATTGGGAAAGGAGTACGGCAAGGCTGTATATTGTCCCCCAGCTTATTTAACTTATATGCAGAATACATCATGCGGAAGGCTGGACTGGAAGAAACCCAAGCCGGAATTAAGATTGCCGGAAGAAATATCGACAACCTCCGATATGCAGATGATACCACTCTGATGGCAGAAAGTGAGGAGGAATTGAAGAACCTTGTAATGAGAGTGAAAGAGGAGAGTGCAAAAAACGGTCTGAAACTCAACATCAAAAAAACTAAGATCATGGCCACTGGTCCCATCACCTCCTGGGAAATAGAAGGGGAAGATATGGAGGCAGTGTCAAATTTTATCTTCCTGGGCTCCATGATCACTGCAGATGGAGACAGCAGCCCTGAAATTAAAAGACGCCTTCTTCTTGGGAGGAGAGCGATGACAAATCTTGACAGCATCTTGAAAAGCAGAGACATCACCTTGCCAACAAAAGTCCGAATAGTCAAAGCTATGGTTTTTCCTGTCGTGATGTATGGAAGTGAGAGCTGGACCATAAAGAAAGCAGACCGCCGAAGAATTGATGCCTTTGAATTGTGGTGCTGGAGGAGGCTCTTGAGAATCCCCTGGACTGCAAGGAGAACAAACCTATCAGTTCTAAAGGAAATCAACCCTGAATGCTCACTTGAAGGACAGATTCTGAAGCTGAGGCTCCAGTACTTTGGCCATCTCATGAGAAGAAAAGAGTCCTTGGAAAAAACCTTGATGTTAGGAAGGTGTGATGGCAAGAGGAGAAGGGGACGACCGAGGATGAGATGGCTGGACAGTGTCTGCGAAGCAACCAACATGAACCTGACACAACTCCGGGAGGCAGTAGAAGACAGGAGGGCCTGGCGTGCTCTGGTCCATGGGGTCACGAAGAGTCGGACACGACTAAACGACTAAACACACACACACATTAAAATTTCCTTTCCTACTTCAAATCTTTCACCACCTCAGTAATAGACCTCCTATTTTCTCTCCTGTATGCTTAAGTCTAGCTTCATATATTGTCTTTGTATGTTTGGAGTGACAGGGAATGCCGTACTGTAAACGACTAAACACACACACACATTAAACGGACATTTCCTACTTCAAATCTTTCACCACCTCAGTAATAGACCTCCTATTTTCTCTCCTGTATGCTTAAGTCTAGCTTCATATATTGTCTTTGTATGTTTGGAGTGACAGGGAACATCATGCCGTACTGCTATGTAAGCTATGAGAAAGAAACTGCTCAACATGATACTAATGTATGTTTCAAAGATGGAATCTTTATGAAAACTTCTCTATATTGTTGTTTACAATGTGTTCATAGACATTAGCTATGACAACAAAGGTACAAGAATTTGGTCCCTAGTACCTACTCTGGAGGGACGTGGTGGCGCTGCGGGCTAAACCGCAGAAGCCTGTGCTGCAGGGTCAGAAGATCAAGCAGTCGTAAGATCGAATCCACGCGACGGAGTGAGCGCCCGTCGCTTGTCCCAGCTCCCGCCAACCTAGCGGTTCGAAAGCATGCAAATGCAAGTAGATAAATAGGGACCACCTCGGTGGGAAGGTAACAGCGTTCCGTGTCTAAGTCGCACTGGCCATGTGACCACGGAAGATTGTCTTCGGACAAAAACGCTGGCTCTATGGCTTGGAAACGGGGATGAGCACCGCCCCCTAGAGTCGAACACGACTGGACAAAAAATTGTCAAGGGGAACCTTTACCTTTACCTTTTTACCTACTCTGGACACGCAAAGACACATCAACACACCCACTCACCCAGCTTACCTCACAGGAAGCAATGCAATGAATGGCTTTTGGATCAGGATGCCACTTCAGTCTTCCAGTGCACACAATGTTCTATGGAGAGGAAAAAAACGGAGCTTTACAGGGTTCAGAATGCAAGGTGTAGCATGGCACAACTTTTAATTTATTAAATTTCTATTATTTTAATATCAGGAATTCACTATTCCCTGAATGCATATTAATCAGACAGATTCCAAAATGCTTTTCTATATAGATTCCTTGTGTGAATGATTCCACATGCAATCTTGCTTTTGAGATACAGTTTGGATTCCGGACAGATTGATCACCTGCATTTTTTTTCCTTGAAAAATCTTGGCTTCCAAACCTCATAGTTATGAAGACACATTTGAAATGTGTTGACAATGGCTATAGTGAGAGTGACCATGTCCTTCTAGAATTCTTGATTTCAAAGGAAACAAAAGTACAGTGTAGCCACACACTTCTGCTGGATTTTTAAAAAAGCCAATTTTAATCATCACGGAACAAAGATAAGTAAGGTCCCATGGCAGGAGATCCTAACAAGAAGATGAGTCCAAGAAGGGTGGGGGCTTCTAAAAAATAAATTCTAAAAGCACAACTACAAACCATTCTGACAAGAAAAAAAGGGAGGAGGTGGCAAAAAAGGCCAGTGTGGCTACACAAAAAGTTCAGGGAGGACCTAAAACTCAAAAAAGACATGTACAGGAAGTGGAAAGAAGGCCAGGCCACCAAGGATTACAGACAAGTAGCAAGGAAATGCAGGGATGGCTTTAGGAGGGCAAAAGCTGAGAAAGAGCTGAGGTTAGCTAGAGACAATAAAAACAATAAAAAGCAATATTCAGGTATGTGAGTAGCAAAAGAAAAGCAAAAGACATAGTGACACAGTTCCACAATGGAGATGATAACAGTGCACAAAGAAAAGGCTGAGGTGCTCAATTCCTATTTTAGTTCTGTCTTTTCCCATAAGACAGAACATGAACTTCCAAACAAATTGGAAGTGCAAGTGGGTAAGGTAGTCAAGGAATACCTTATCACCTTCAACGAATTCAGATCTCCAGGGCCAGATGAACTGCATCCGAGAGTACTGAAGGAACTGGCTGAAGAACTCTCAGAACAGCTATCCATTATTTTCTTGAAATCATGGGAAATGGGCGAGGGGTCAAAGGATTGGAGGAGGGCCAATGTTGTCCCTATCTTCAAAAAGGGCAAAAAAGAGGAACCTGGGAACTACAGGCCACTCAGACTGACATCAATCCAAGGCAATATTCTGGAACAGATCGTAAAGCGGTCATTGTGTAAGCACCTAGAAAACAAGGCAGTAATAACTAGAAGCCAACTAGAACAAATTCTGCCAAACTAATTTGATCTCCTTTTTTGATCAGATCACCTCCCTGATAGACAGAGGGCATGCCGTAGACGTAGCATATCTTGACTTCAGCAAAGCTTTTGACAAAGTGCCCCATGAGATCCTGATTAGCAAGCTAACTAGGTGTGGGCTGGATAAATCAAGTGTCAGGTAAATACACAATTGGCTACAGAATTGTACTCAGAGGGTGATGATTAGTGGGTCCTTCTCTCACTGGGAGGAGGTAACAAGTGGGGTACCCCAAGGCTCATTCCTGGGCCCAGCGCTCTTCAATATTTTTATTAATGACTTGGATGAGGGAGTGCAGGGAATGCTTGTCAGATTTGCAGATGATGCAAAATTGGGCAGAATAGCTAATACCCTAGAAGACAGAAACAAAATTCAAAATGACCTTGATAGGATGGAGCACTGGGCCGAAAACACCAAAATGAAAGTCAACAGGGATAAGTGCAAAGTACTGCACCACAGAGAAAGAAACCAATTGCACAGTTACAAGATGGGAGATACCTGGCTCAGCAAAACTACAAGTGAGAAGGATCTTGAAATTGTTGTAGATCACAAGCTAAATATGAGCCAATAGTGTGATGTGGTAACAAAAAAAGGCAAATGCTATTTTAGGCAGCATTAATAGCAGTATAACCTTGAGAAAGAAGGCTGAGGGGTGATATGACAGCACTTTTCAAATATTTGAAAGACTATCATACAGAGGAGGGGCAAGATCTGTTCTCAATCATCCCAGAGTGCAGGACACGCAACAATGGGCTCAAGTTAGAGCAAGCCAGATTTCGGTTGAATATCAGGAAAAACTTCCCAACTGTTAGAGCAGTACAGCAGTGGAACCAGTTACCCTGGGAGTTGATAAGTGTTCCAACACCGGGGGCATTCAAGAAAAACTTGGATAATCACCTAGCAGATATGCTTTGATTGCATTCCTGCATTGAGCAGGGGATTGGATTTGATGGCCTTGTAGGCCCCTTCCAACTTCAGTTTTCTTTGATTCTATGATAGTATGAACAGCTTTTGCAATTGCCATGTCTATAGATCCTTGCATGAGAGTTTCCAGACAATCATTTCCTCACACTCTGTCACTTCCTTTTACATGCTCATCTGCTTACATCCCAACACTAACATTCAAAATTTTCAAAAATCCCTGGGCCCAGGGCCAAACATGAACATTTATCAAATTGACACAAAAAACTAATCTTATATCCACATATGTTTATGATTTTCCAAATGTTTTCTGAGCATATAATTTAGACTTTTTGGAATGGAATTTGGATTTCCTTGGAGAAGCAGCATAATTAATTCAGTCAGCAGAAAGTTTTTGATCTAGTTACAGTGAGATGAAACCTTATAGCTATGCTACATGCCACATGTTTCCTATCCTGTGCATGTGGTGCACACTTAATATATATCTTGTCATGTCTGCCAACTACAAAAGGAAATTTTACTGTATGTACAAATGATGAAACTTACATTCATGCATCAATCACTATAAATAAACTATTTATTTATAAATTCCAAACACTATTTACATGGAATCATGGAGTCACAGAATAATGAAGTTGGAAGGGGTCTATTAAGCCATCGGGTTCAATCTCCTGCTCAAGTTAGGAATCCAAATCAAGTTACAGTGGTGCCTCGCACAACGAGTGCCTCACACAACGATAAATTCACACAACGATGGCTTTTTCTGAAAAATTTGCCGGCTCACACAACGATGTTTCCTATGGGGAATTTTCGCACAACGATGTCTCTTTTCACTCATTTAAAAGTGCCTTAAACTGTTTGAAACCTGTTTTAAATGCTTGGCATCGATAGTCCAGCTTGTGAAACGTAAGCAAACTTAATTTGGTGTTGTTCTGAGGCGTCGTTAATTTTTGGTGAATTTGTTTATTCTCCGTTGAAAGTCCAATGGCTTTCAATGGAGAATAAAAAAATTCACCAAAAATTAACGAGGACTCAGAACAACAACAAATTAAGTTTGCATAGGTTTCAGGAGGTGGGCTAACGATTGCAAGCATTTAAAACAGGTTTCAAACAGTTTAAGACACTTTTACAGGAGCGAAAAGGGACTTCGCAAACCCATTCAAATGCATTGAGTCGGCTTCAATGCATTTCAATTGGGGAACCGCGTTTCCTTCAACGATGTTTCCTATGCCGATTTTCACTTAAGGACGGCAATCCGTTCCAATTGGAACGGATTAACCGGTTTTCAATGCATTCCTATGGGAAATGGTGTTTCACAGAATGATGTTTTCACAGAACGGTGTTTTTTTTGGAACCAATTAACATCGTTGTGCGAGGCACCACTGTATATTTTACAGATGGTTGTCTTATTTTTCTTTTGCATGCCCCCAGCACTGGAGTTCTTACCATCTCCTGAGGTAATTCATTCCATTGTTGTACTATTCTATCAGTTAAGAAGTTTTTCCTATATTCAAATGAAATCTGGCTTCCTGTAATCTGAGCCTATTGTTATATCCTACACTCAGTGATGATTGAGAACAGATCCTGCCCCCCCCATGTATGACTATCTTTCACGTATTTGAAAAGTGCTATCATATCCCGTCTCAGTCTTCTTTTCTCAAGGCTAAATACACCCATTTAAAAAAATATTTCTTCATAGAGCTTGATTTCTGCTCCCTTGATCATCTTTATTTCCCTCCTCCAAACCTGCTCCAGTGTGTCAGCATGCCCCTTGAAGTGTGATGGAGAGAATTGGATAGTTTCCCTGCTGAAGAGAGGGAAACTAGTACTTCATGGGATTTGGCAACTACAGTGGTGCCTCGCATATCGAGGTTAATCCGTTCCTGATTAACCTTCGCTATGGGAAAACATCGCTATACGGATCAAAAAAACCATTGGAATGCATTAAACATTGTTTAATGCGTTCCAAATGGGCCCAAAACTCACCGTTCTGCGATGTTTCCCCATGTTCCGGTGGCCATTTTGGGTGTTCCGGTGGCCATTTTGGGTGGTTCTGGTGGCCATTTTGGGTGTTCCGGCGGCCATTTTGGGTGGTTCCGGTGGCTATTTTGGGTGTTCCGGCGGCCATTTTGGGTGTTCTGGCAGCCATTTTGGGTGTTCCAGCCACCGCTGAACAGCTGTTCCCCCTCGCTATGCGAAGAAACATCGGCATGCGATCGCATTAGCGATTGCAAAATCTGCATCAGTATGCAGATTCATCGTTAAACGGTGCACTCGTTATGCGAGGCACCACTGTATACTTCTGTTAATGCAGCTTGAAATAGCATTTGACCTTTTTTTTTGTAGCCACATCACACTGTTGGCTTCTATTCAGCTTTTGATCTGGAATAATTCCAAGATCCTTCTCACTCGTAGTCATACTGAGCCAAGTATTTCCTATCTTGCAACTGTGCATTTGTTTCTATTTTCCCCTAAGTGTAGAATTGTGTGCTTATCCCTGCTAAATGAAATTATGTTGCTTTCTGTCACACTGAGCTGAAGTAGGAATTGAACACTTTTGCCTTTTCTTTGTGCTCAAGCCTGTCAAGATATTTTTGAATTTTGTTCCCGTCTTCCAAGGTATTAGCTATTCCACCCAATTTTGTGTCATCCAAAAATTGGGCATGTATTCCCTGCACTCCCTGATCCAAATCATTAATAAAAATGTTGAAGAAGCTACTGATAAGCACTTTCTGAGTACAATCCTGTAACCAACTGTAGATTCACCCAATAGTTACTC